TATATATATAAGTACATATACATATATATTAATAATTCAAGTTTGAATTATTTAAAATAATGAAGATCCTGCTTCGATCGTAACAGGCATTTTAAATTTCTTTTCTTTATTTTTACAATATCTTAACATGTTTAATTTATTTCTGGGTTACCTAGAATTTATGAGTAATGAATAAAACGAATTATAATGATATTATAATATTTTTTTGTATGTTATTCTTTTTAATAAGTTAGTATTGTATTAATATCAATATTTACCCGAGGTCATGAAAGGCAAACTGAAATCCACAACAGATTCGCGGAAGGATGTTATAGTTAAATCGGATATAGCAAGATCGGCTTCCTAAAATTTTTAAAAAATAGATCATAAATAACAGATTATTGAAAAGTGGTGTAAACTCAAATTATTGTTTGTTCACAATAAGTAGGAAAATCTTGTAAAATGAAGGTGGTAAACAATTAACGTAAATTTTAAATATTAAAGGTGAATTATTACATTTAAAAAAATACTATTATTAATTTAATTGTAATATAAAAGCAAACTCAATTGATTTACATGTTTCTGTTCTATTTTTTCATAAAAGAAATTTTTTTCACTTTAATTTGTTGCCAAAATAAGATGATAGAAATAAATTAAGAACAAACCTTTCTTTAAATAAAAGTTTCTGCACGGAAAGTACAATTTTGTTGAAATATTAAAAAATTTAGTTAGATCTGCAAATCTGAAAATAATTTTCTCGGGACCATCAAAGTATAATTAGATATATAGTAAACTCAAGCATGATTAACAATGTTATGAAATGTTTTAATATTCTAGAAATTAATTTAGACCTTCTATATAATTATTTTGATAATCTAACAAAATTATTTTTAGATTTTGTATCTAGCAAAATTTTTAGATATTTTAACAAATTATTTTTTCCCTCTGTAAAATACAGGACGTTTTACTTACATTATTCAAAATGCTCTTGATTAGACCTCTATGCCAGGTCTTCGTTTGTGAATCGTAAAAGCCATATCTATCATTTACGAGTTGGAAAACTACCCCTTTAAACCGTAAATGTTTTGCGATATGATTAATCAGATCGATGCAAAAACCTTCGTAGCGTTTCCAATCAATTAGTTCTCCACGCGTTGAACCATCAGTCACTTCCATAATGTAGGGTGCACTCTAAATCGGAGGAAGTTATTACATATTTCATATCTTCAAAAATATTTGTATAATTTATACTTAGCTGACTATAATAAATAGAAAGAAGAGCTAAGAGAGAGAATATTCGTAGAACAATTATATGTACTTTCATTGATTTAACTCGTTTGCTATTACGTATATCACTAATGATATTATTCGTCATACAATATTTCTGTTTTTATACCAAAAGAAATCATATCTATATTGAAACATTCAAGTAATATTATTAAATACGTTATATTGTTTCCAATTTGCTCTTTTCTGTACTTATTATAAGTATCTTTCTCAGACTATGCACGTAATATAACTTTAAATCTTCTCTTGTAATTTATGAATTACATAATAAATTGACAAGATATATTTCTATTTAATGGCTAACAACATATAATCTTAATGTCAGAGCTATAATTAATATGTTAAATAGTATTACGAACTATCTTTATGCTAATCTTGAATATTTTTTCTTTCATGAATTTGTGTAAATCGATATCCTTCTTTTCCTTAATCTGTGTGGCATGTATACCATTAAAATCCCAATAACTCATTTGTATCACATCCGATTGTTGAAAATTCAAGATTTTTACATTAAAACGTTGTCGACGACCATATTTATCAATGCACATATTGCCTGTTATCTTTCCTTTCTTTGATATCTATTTAAGAAAAAAATTAATTTTCTTATCTTAAAAATGAATAATGAAGATTTGATATTTTTATATATTTTTTCACGAATGTTTATTATTTGAATACAGTTGTGTTCAAATAGTGAACATTAGCGCAGTTATTATGTCAGTCACATTTAATAAATTTAATGTGGCATTAAATTAACTTTGAAGAATTAATTTTTTTATGCAAGTGAATATAAAAATGTAAGAAAATCGTTATTAATTAAATTTCTTCAAAATATGTATTATGAAGAATAATAAAAATCATATATACATATATTCTTAAGATTTAAAGCTAAATTGCTATTTTTTTGTTATATAAGAAGTAATAAAAAAAGATCTCTTTCTTACCTTTTGCATAACACTGATGATATTAGGTCCTGCTTCATACAATGTAGTTTTATTGATACAAGAAAATCGTATAGGATCAATGGACATATATACTTTATTTTTACTATTTCTTGCGTTTAGAGTCTCTAATGCCTTATGCAACAAAAATACTGCGTCATAGAGGACCATTGAATCTAGCTGTATTAAAACCGCAATAGTTCAAATAATTAATTTTGTTTTATATAATTTTTTATTTTGAATTTTTAATATAAAACATCTAATACAGCCTAAAATGTGAAAACATTAAATAGACATTGATTTGTCTGCTAAAATAAATAAATAAATACTTTCTTTTTTTTAAGTGCTTGCGCAACGAAAAATTGCACAGAAATATTTTTATTTTTCATGGATGTTGACTCGTTGATATTTATAAGTAATATTTTATTAAATATACAGTGTAAGTGATCATCCTCCAATAATCTTGACCTTGAGTGACTTCCAACAGGTTTTAGGTGGCGGTCGTCCTTCGTTAAAAAATTATTAACAAAAAAAGTTTGAAAAATAGTGTCTCTTTTCTACTATGTGAAACAGAAATTTTCTACTTTAAAATATATTTTATGACTTTCCACGCAAAGCAACTTTCACCCCCACCTCCCCCCTGCTTAAGGGCACACGACTTCCACGCAAAGCGAGTTCCATCTCATCTCGTCAAGTTGCTTCGCATAGAAAGTCGGATATCTCTGAAGCAGAGGGGAGGTAAAGCGAAAATTGCTTTGCGTGGAAAGTCGTAAAATATATTTTAAAGCAGGAAACTTCTGTTTCATATAGTAGAAAAGAAATATCATTTTTCTTTTTTAATAACTTTTTAATGAAGAACGATCGCCATCTAAAACCTATTGGAGGTCACTTAGAGTCATGATCTTGACAACATATGACAAGGTAAAAGTCATTGGAGGGTGGTCCCTTATGCATATTTACCAATATTTACCAATATTTTTTTGTTATTATATTAATTTTTTATTATAATTTTTCACTATTAAATGACATTGATTGTTCGCAATCATTGGAGCGAGTTATTCGCACTCGTTTACTTGGTCTAGATCTGGTTTGACGCAAGTACTTAAGAATTATACAAATGCAATGAAAGAATATATAAACTTTCGAGATTACATTTTAATTAATATATTATATTATGCTTATTGCTGATAATTAAGAGATTGAATAAATACCCCATCAATTTTTTCTACGTCATTCTCTCTTATGCTCAATCCAGTGATATTAACAATGGTATTAACATTATTTCGCATCTTGGCAATAGGTAGCATGGATATATCCTACAATTGAATGGAATGATTATTTAAAAAACTATTTATGCTATTTGTTTTCTAGCATCGGAGATGCATAAGAATAACATATAATATTATGCTTTATCTATTCTATTTAATTTTCCTTAAATTATTAAAAAAATTTTAATTTATAAACTTTTAATGATCAATCTTTTCAGCTTTAAAATACATAAAATACGCATTCGAAAGTTGTTATTGAAATAAAACATGTAATATACGGTACCAAATATGTAATAACGAAGTTGCAATAATCTGCGAGTAAATTGACTTCTTTTGCCTGATGGAGCACTTTCATAATATTTTTCGGCTTAACATCGATAATTATGTTGCACACTGGTAAATGACGTATCTTTTTAAGCATCGAGCGATAATCCGATCCTTCATTAAGCTTCCATACTGTATGTATAATCGGATATTCTTTTAAAGTCAAAGTCTTCTGAAGACGTGACAGTCCTTCGTCAGTTTCGTAAATCGCTACGAATTTTTGCCATTTCATTGAATCAATGACATCGGCGATAGCCTGTATAATTTTATCGATCAAAAATATATTCCAAAAATAATAAAAATATGTTTTATGTGCAACGTGATATTAGTCACGATTTAACTTGCATCTTAAAAAAGCAGACTACTGTGATTCTATTGAATAATTATTCGATTTAATTAATTAACTAGATATGCATTTAAAAATCATCATAAAAATAATTTGAATTTATTTGCACACTGTTAAACGTGTTCAAGTTATTATAGTGTATATTTACTGAAATTTGTACATTTAGCTGCGAAATGATTCTTTTAAATTACGACTAACCTGACTGATTTGTTCACTGGCAGGGAATATGTTTATGGTCATTGATGGTGAAGTCTTCTTCTTTTTCTTTTTTTCCCTTTCTCGCCAGACATACTCGATATGCGGTATTTTAAATCGCGCAGCAATGCTCGCAACTATCCCACTAGTATACCGGCTTGAAGGCCCGAAAATGGCTGCCACACCTTCCTCAAGAAGTTCACAAGCTATATAGAAAATAATACAATATCGAATAAGTAAATCAACAAATATGTTTAAAATTAAAATAATTGTGTAATGTAAAACCTTCTTCATAAATCTGTTTTTTTTTTTAATTTCCTCACGTATTTCTCTAAAAAGGAATCTTAAAAAAGAATAATTCTCTTGTTTTTTTCTCTTTTTTTTCCATTATAAGCATATCTCGAATTTAATACATACATGAAATTGGCCCCCAACTTTTGAAAAAATTAACTTTCTATAACTCATTCGGTTGCTCATTGTTCGCACATGTATGCACATTTCGAATTTTTGTTTGCATATTTCTATGCTATTCAGGAAAAAATGTTTCATATATAATTATATATAATTATATGAAATTAGAAATAGAAATCGACTGAGTTAATGTAATAACATAATACAGTAGAGAATGCCTTTCGGTCAAAGTTGAAAGTTTCGAATTAGGTTGGGAAAAAAATTTCTTTGTATTTTTTAATTCAAAATTGTATATACAATATCTTCATCAAAAATGAATTAAATTTAAATTTAAAAAAAAGGTTTTAAAGCTTGAAATCTCTACTTTCAAAAGATTACTATATTTTTTGAATTTCTGTGAGTTTGATAATTTTTACATTTAAAAAACTACGAGCTGAAAAAGATAAAATTTTCTTTTCACTTTAGGGGTCTCTCACGCTGCCCAAACACGTTTACCAAAAAATTTTCGATTACCTATCATGAAAGCTTGAAGCTTCCCCTATAAAATCATTTTTTAAAAATGTTCCTATGATTTTTTGTTCCTGAATTATTCGCGAGTTAAATAAAAGAGCATTCTAATTTCGATTGCTCATAACTTCGATAAAAATCATCATACTGCAATTTAAAAAACAGATTCTTAAAGCTGAAACTCTAACGAATGATATAACTGTAACGAAAATTTTGCAACAAATGAAAAACTTTTGCAAAAAAATTTTTTTAAATACGAAGAAACTTTTTTTCCTACCTAATATATTATATTATGTTATATTATATTATATTATATTATATTATATTATATTATATTATTTGAAACTTTCAATTTTGACCGATCCTAAAGACGCTCTCTACTATATATTATATGAGATTATATAAAATTATATATAATTATATAAAAAATGTATAATTATATAAAAAATGATAGATATTAGGAATCAGTGCTGGAAATCAATTGCGCAAAAAACTTATAGAAATAACGAAAATTTTAGGTACAATTTTAAGATATAACGTTCAAGATGTTGATGATGGAGCTCCTTACCGCATTGCAATCATCATCACGTAACAGAAATGGGTTTTGACGATATTGTGTATTAATTTATTATTATTTATTAAATTTGTACTGAAGATGATTAAATTTGTACTGAAATGGAGCCGAAATATCTTTAAAATTTTCGTTATTCTGTAAGTTTTTGCGCAATTGATTTCCAGCGCTGACTCCTAATATCCATCATTTTTTGTATACATTTTTTATGCCTTAATCTTAACAAATGTTATCCAGGACATGAGCCTGAACAATATTCAAAAGGTTTTAGCCATCGGTCGAACACCTTGCGTAATGCTAATGTCGGCGGTATTGTAACTTTCAAGCCTTATAACTCAAAAAGTATTTAATGAAAAATAACTTTGTTACAGTGTTTTGAAAAGCTCTTGACACCAGCTATTAAATTCTGAAATAAAAAATAGAATGTTCTATTTAAAAAAATCTATGTAATCTTGATTTGATTTTGGCGATGCCATCCAAAGTCAAACTGATAAGATCAGTAAATAGATCTTTTTAAGCTCTATAACTTTTATGTGAAACATTTTTCTATAAAATTTAT